TAATAAAACCAGGCACGCCCGTCTTGAGGGGACGCACTTTGGAAGCCAGTGCTGACTTCTGCCAGCATGCTGGAGACTGCATTTGGGATCACGGCAGCTGGGAGCATGCTGCCGAGCCTGGTGGGCAGCACGGAGCCCTTCTCCGAGGCTCGCAGGCCTGAGTGAGAGCTGGTGCCTTTCCGGGTGTCCAGGCTCCCTGCTGGCGGACTTACCTGTCAGCATCAAAGGAGGAGATGAAAGAGGCATAGTTGAGGTTGTAGGCCAGCACGGTGGTATAGTGATTGAACCCAAAAAAGTCATAGGTGCCGTTGATTCTCCTCTTCTCACTCTCTGTGAATTCCGGGAGCCTGCACGGAAGGAGCCATTAAGGGTGGGGCTTCAGGAAGAATCATCAGAGAGAGAGCGAGAGGGAGAGAACCACTGACGGGACCGCCACAATCCTCCTTCCTCCAGTTCTTCATCCAGGCACAATCCTGGGTATGCATGCGCCCAAGCCCACCTGGGCATGGACCCTGGTCAGTCATGTAGAATCCAACTTCCTGTGTGCACCTTGCTGCTACACTCCTGCACGCCCAGCTCAAGGATCACACTTTGAGAAGAGAATGTCGTGAGGCAGGGCTGGGGGCACTAGTCCCACCTCCAGGCATTTGGCTGTGACAAGGTGGCAACTGGCAGGGGCCCGCAGGCACAAGGAGTGCCTGCAGCTCCTCCCACAGGCTGGGACCTTGCTTCCTCTCTTCCTGCTGGTAAAATGAACTGCAGTTTGCCTTTCTTAGAAACCTTCCCTGCAAGGGTACACACACGCATCTCTACCCCTGGATGGAATGACCTCTCCTCCCGATTCTACTCATTGTCACAGCCCAGCTCCACTGAGGTACTGCATCGTCTCCTGGGCCCACCAGCCCACCTTCTGTTTTCTTTGCACTGAGGAAGTTGGGGAATAGAATCCATGAAGTGGGCTGGCTCTGTAGCCTATGGGTTAAGGCAGCTGGATTCCACATGGCTGACCTCATGGTTCAAATCCTGGACTTAGCAGCTTGAGAAACATACCAGGTGTGCACGCATGTGCGTGTGTGCATGTCCAAAATCCCAAGAGGAGGGAGAAATAGAGGAGAAGGGATTGCAGTGTGACCATCCCCTGTGGGGTGTCTTGGTGCTTTCTTATCTTCCCTCTCTCTCTGGCCAGCACATGTGCCCTCTAGCAAAAAAAGAAAAGAAAAAAGAGAAAAGAAAAGCAAAGAAAGAAAAGAAGGAAGGAAGAAAGGAAATTTCACAGGCCACTGTCTTCCCAGTTGTTCTGCCTTGCATGGACCCCACCAGGCTGGCCCCAACCCAGGCCCACAGTAGGTGCTCAGCAAAGCTGTGTCAGGGTGCTGGAGTGCTTGTTGAGGACCAGAGTTGGCAGATCAGGCCTTTAGGCACAGCTGGCTCAGCAGGACTTGCCCGACCAGGCCAGGACACACATTGTAAGGAGGGAGTTGGTTTTTTTTTTTTTTTTTTTTTTTTTTGGGTTTTTTTTTTTTTTTTGGTGTATTTTTTTGCCTTACGGTATGTGCACTCATCAGAGACAGTGAAAGAGAAAGTGAGAAACCACCCCCCTGGGGGGATGGCCATGCTGTAGTCTCTTCTCCTTCATCCTCCTCTTGGGATTTGGGGTATGCATGCAGAAGTACCCAGCATGATTTTCAAGTTGCTGGGTCCAGGATTTGAACTGCTGAACTGGCAATATGGAAGTACAACACCGTAACCACCATGACACTGGCTGGTTCCCAAGAAGCTGGGTTCTTAATTTTTTAATTTAATTATTTAAAGAATTATTTATTTCATTTTATTATTATTTTTAATTTGCTATATGGAATGTGGGGCCCACCAGCGAGAGAGACAGAGAAAAACAGCAAGCTGCCAGGTCCAGGACACAAATCGTGGTTGGCAATGCACAAGTCCAGCACCCCAACCACCACGCCACCTGCTGGTCCAGAGCTGGGTTTTCAATCCTCACAGCTGAGTGTGTGGGGGAGGGTGGGGTTGGGAAAAGACACAAAGGCTAAGTTAGGAATCCATACCTCCTGAAACCCTTCTACCCTCCCTGAGTATGGGCTCATGAGCTATGTGAGAGCTGTGAGGCTGTTCCAGTCCAGCAGGCATCATGGGTCTATGTCCTTCCACACTGCACCCTGCTGTAGCTGGATGATTAAGCCGAGTGTGGGCCCTGGAGGCAGCCTGGTTTCAAATCCCAGCTTCACCAGTAATAGCTGTGTGATCTTGCCCTAATCTTTTACTTTTTTCTTTTTTTGCCATAGAGAATGTGTACTCACCATAGAGAAAGAGAGAGACAGTGAGAGGGAAAGTGAGAATTCATCCCCCCAGAGGGGATGGCCACTCTGCAAGGGATGGCCTTCTCCTCTGTTCTTCTCCTGGGATTTGGGCATGCACACATGTTCCCAGCATGATTTTCAGTCCACCAGGTCTAGGACTCAAACCACGGTCAGCCATGTGGGGGTCCAGTGCCTTAACCACTATGCCACCTGCTGGCCCCCAATTTGCTCTTCGTCATTGTTCCAGAGTATGTACATGTGCCAGAGAGACACAGAAAGAGAGACTGAGTAAGGGAAAACAAGAAATCACCCCCGAGGGGGATGTTCATGCTGCAATCTCCTCCCTTCTATTCTCCTCTCAGGACTGCCACGCTGCAATCCCTTCTCCTCCATTCTCCTCTCAGGATCTTGGGCATGCACATGTGCCCGGTGTGAGTTTTAAGCCACCGGGTCTGGGACTCGAACCGCAGCTGACTTCGTGGGAGTCCAGCAACATAGCCATCACACCAACTGCTGGTCCCCCAGCTTGTTCATTTTTTAATTGGAGTAAAAGTACCAGTAGGCCAAGCCGCCTTGGCACAGACAGTAGCATGCTGATCTATGGTGCTACAAGCCACATGGCTGACTACAGGTTTAGATCCACAGCTAATCTAAAGCATGGTGGGTGCTCACATCCAAGATCCTGACCAGCCAGAGGACGTGGGGAAGGGGATCAATGAAACCCTGTCAAGATTGCTTGTCTCTCTCTCTCTCTCATTCTCATGAAACAAATGAATTAAATTTTACAAAGCCCCTGTTGAGGTCTATCTTTCCATACCTTTCCCTTTCTTATGGAATAAACTTTTTAAAAAAGGAAAAAAATTACAAAGAGCTCAATAAATGTTAGCTGCTAGACACAAATCAGGTGGGCTCGGAAGTCTGCTTTAGTGCAAACCATCGCCATCTGCTGGCCAGATGACAAAATTACACATCTGGCAGTCTCCCACTCTAAGGTGAACGAGGACAGGATGAGCTGGGGAATTTGTCCTTGGAGTGAGGTAGTGTGGTTGCTGGGAGGTGGGTGTCCTTGGAGCAGATTTCCTGGTGGTTCTGAAGTTTAATAGCAACAATAGCAACTGCTTTCATCAAACACACAGTAGTGCCTGCTGTAGGCACAGAGCTCGACAAGCCTGGTCTCATGTCACCTTCCCAGGAAGTGAGGAAGCTCACGGACATAGAAACTTGCTAGAGATGCACCACTCCGAGCCCAGTGCTCAGGCGCCAGCCGCTGTGGCACCAGGACCTTACCGAGACTTGCTGAGGCCCGCGGCCAAGCTCCTGTCCCGGATCCGCGTCTTCATCACCTCAGGGTAGTCTCCGTTCTTGAAAATAGGATGTGCAAACCAGCCTCCCATGAACTGCAGGGGGTTGGGGCAGAGAGCCTCAGCATCACAGGCGGGCACACCATGGCAGTGCAGTGTTGTGCCTACAGGCCTCCGACCTAGGCACCTCGTTGCCTTTCTCCGGGACCCCACCCAAGGCTCTCACTCGAGAAGGTGTCCACAGGCCCCCTTGCCACATCTGTGCCGGCTTGGCTGTGGCCCACCCAGGGCAGGGTGGCTCTGAAAGCTTCCAGCTTCAGTGGGAGCATTTGCTCTTGGCAAATGCTTCTTGGCTCCACTTGGGAAGGTCCCGCAGAAGAGGAGGGGGAGACATGCGGGAGGCCTCAGGCCCCTAATTACCTCTCACCACAGAGCAGCTGCCCTAGTGCCCTCCTCTAAGTGCCTGAGGATCAATCAGCTTTGTGGGCAGGGCCGAGGCCCCCTTTCCTGGCTGCCCAGGCAAAGGGCAACTCTCGTTGGGTTTGAGTTTAGAGCCCGATAGTGGGGGATTGCTGGACAGACTTTCTTGAGCAAGGTCTAGGCCGTCCTCATTGTTAGGGCGGAGACTGGCGTCCAAGCACTGTGAAGCTGGGGGTCTGAGAAGCTTCTCAGTCTCTCCGAATCCTCCTCCCACCTGCTGGTGCCTGAAATGTGGGTTGAGGGCAGCCTTCCCCTCTCCGTGGGAGAGAAGGCCTGGGAAAAGGTCACATCATATCTTTCTGGGGAAGCTGATCCTAATAGGAGCTGTGTCTGTGCAAGTCCCGGGCAGCAGGGTCACTGCAGTTCACCGATGAGGGGCTCGGTGAATGATGCAACAGCTTCACATTTCCTGAGGTTTTAGGGTTTTGATTTCAGGGCAAACTATTATTGTTCCAGCTCACCAGTTCTGAGTCTGAAATGAGGGATGCATTTATTTTGCTCCAAGATAAGTTTCCCCAGCTGGCTAGCACACCGGGAAATTAAGATTGCCATTGCATTTAATTAGTTTGAGCAAACTTTCTTGTAGAATCTGGCAAAAGTATTAGACCCTTGGTGTCTTCCCCACCCAGGAGAGTTGGAATGCCATAATCTCCACTGACCCCAAAGGGAGAACCACTTTGGAGGGAGGCACCCTTGCCTTTCATTCCCAGTGAGGAATCATGTCTTCTAATCCCTCCAGACACTAGCAGGGGCAGCAAAAAGCTGTGTCACATGATCAGGGCATTCTTCCCCCCTCTTGTCCGGGGGTCTGCATTGCAGTAGGGTGGGCCATGTTGGCACCTGCTCTGTCACTAGTGTCGCTACTTCCTGGGGATGAAATTCCACAATCAAAAGGTGCATGTCCTTATTCTAAACTCATGGTGTTGGCACACTAACAAGTGCCACAGAATTTAAAGCTCTCAATGAAAGAAACGTCTAGGCTGGAGCAAAGAAAATCAAATGGCGACACCTTGAGGCAAAGTGTGACACTGCAGCCCAGTTCTAGTAGCTAACGTAGTCAAACCAGAGATTGAAGAGCTGGAATTCCTACGCGTTAGCACCAAGCCAATGTCACATACGGACTACACGAACAAATCATTTTTTCACCCTTAAAATAAAACCCAACCCCAAAAGACTTACCACTTCCTGAGTGGGTGACTAGGGCACTGCTAGTTCACAGGTGAGAAAACTAAGGTACGGAAAAGCTATGGATTTTTCAAAGCTCACGAAATGAGGTAATAGCAAACCTGGGCCTAGATCCCAGCCTTTGGTTCTCCATCTCATTCTGGTTTCACTAGACTATGACGGTGGGTGGGTGGGTGGGGGGACAAACAAGAATAAGGACAGTGCCCCGAGGAAAAACAGACCTGGACGTATCTCCTGGCTGCCTCCACGTCCTCCTGACTGGAGGGGTCTCTGGGCTCAGCCCAGTCGCTGCTGATGGTGATGGAAATGGTGCCGCCCTGGCTGGCTCGGTACTGCTCGTCGTAGAGATGCCAGGCCTCGGCATGAGCCTTTATGAGGTTGTGGCCAGCTATGTAGGGGGCCGTGCCAGGCCTGAAGGAGATTCCTGGAAAGACACACTTGGATGTCAACAGAGAACGAATGTGGTCGTGAGTGTCACTCCCTGCCTATGCGTGTCCTCTCCGCGTTTGGGACAGAGAGTGCAGTTTAGCATCAGGGACACTGGAATTCAGGTCTCGCTCTTGCTCTTATTAGCTGGCTGTGTCATTTTGAGCAACTAATTAGGCTTTTCGACTTCCTCTCTGTGGTTACAGGCAGCAGGGTGTGGGGAGAAGGCAATGAAAGAGCGTTAGGGAGGGCCTAGCCGTCCTGTGTCAGGCAGAGAGCAAGCACTCGGCAAAGGCCGGTGTCTGTCCCCTTGTCCCGTAGATGAGCTCAGGCAAAACACCTCACGTGTATTCCTGCAGAGGTGACATCTGTCTGGGACCCACTGAGAAAGGGAGGGTCGGAGGATATCGCTGACGCCGGTGGCGATGTGGAGATAATGAGCACAAAGCCACTCAAGGCTGCCTCTCGGGTGCTGGGAAATGTACCCCATAATGATTCGGAGGCCCACCTCCCCCTGCTCTTCTAGTTCTTAATGCAATCCTGAGGAATCACAAAGATGAACACAAACTCTCTTTCTCTCTTTTTTTTTTTTTTGAGTTTTTTTTGCTGTAGGGCACATGTGCTCGCCAGAAAGAGAGAGACAGAGACAGAAAGCGAGAAATCGCCTCCCAGGGGCAATGGCCATGCCACAATCCCTTCTTCTCCATTTTCTTCTTGGGATCTCGGACAGGCATGCACATGTGCCTGGCGTGAGTTTAAGCCACCGGGTCAGGGAATCAAACTGCGACTGACTACATGGGAGTCCAGCGACATAGCCATTATGTTAACTGCTGGTCCCAACACAAACTTACTCTTAGCACTAGGGAAAAGGGAAATTAGATGGGTTTCAAGGGGCAAAGAAAGGTTCTTCACCCTTTTTTTAAAACCCTGAGGGGGAGCCAGCAGTTAGCGTAATGGCTATGTTGTTGGATTCCCACGTAGTCTACTGCGGTTCTCGTCCCAGATCCAGTGACTTAAAACTCACGCTGGGCACTTGTGCGTGCGTGCCCAAGATCCCAAGAGGAGAATGGAGGAGAAGGGATTGTGGCGTGACCATCCCCTCTGGGGGGTGATTTCTCGCTTTCTGTCTCTCTGTCTCTGTCTGTCTGGCGAGTGCATGAACCTGCACCCTATAGCGAAAACCTTTCAAAAAAAAAAAAAAAAAAGATAAAATCCTGAGGGTCAGATGTATTTTGGAATTGAATGTGTTTTGTATTTTTTTTTTTGAGAGGTTTTCACTATAGTGCATGTGCGCTCGCCAGACAGACAGAGAGAGACATAGAGACAGAAAGCGAGAAATCACCCCCCAGAGGGGATGGTCACGCCACAATCCCTTCTCCTCCATTCTCCTCTCGGGATCTTGGGTACGCACGCACACGTGCCCGTCGTGAGTTTTAAGCCACCGGGTCCGGGACGTGAACCGCGGTCAACTACGTGGGAGTCCAGTGACATAGACATTACGCTATTTGCTGGTTCCTGAATGTGTTTTGTATTTGAGAAAAGTGGTAAGCTGTATATTAAGGATCAGAGACCAGCAGATGCATAATGGTTACGTTGCTGGACTCCCACGTAGTCAACCACAGTTCGAGTCCTGGACTCAGCAGCTTATAACACCCTGAGCACATGTGTGTGCATGCCCAAGATCCCAAGAGGACAATGGGATTTAATTTAATTTTATTTATTGTTGTTATTACTTCTTTTTTTTTAAAGAGAGATTTTTGCTATAGAGCACAGGCACTTACCAGAGAGACAGAAAGCAAGAACCACCACCCCCCAGGAGGGATGGTCACACCACAACCCCTTCTCTCCCAATCTCCTCTTGGGATTTTGAGCATGCACTCATATGCACTTGGCATGAGTTTTAAGCCACCAGGTACAGGACTTAAACCCAGTGAGCCAGTGATGTAACCACTATGCCATCTGCTGGTCCATGTTATTATTTTTTAATTGGACTAGAGAGAGAGCGGGGGAAGGAAAGCGAGGAAGCAAGCTGCCAGATCCCGGACTCAAACCGCTAGCCATATGCAAGTCCAGTACCCTAACCACCACGCCACCTGTCAGCCCGGGCTTGACATTTTATTTTTAACTAGCCAAGAGTATATGTGTGCTTGAGAGAGAGAGAGAGAAGGAAAGCAGCCCCCCATGGGGGCATGGTCATGCTACAATCCTTTTCTTCCTTTTCTCCATCCTGTGAGGATTTGGGGCACACATGCACATGTGCCTGGTGAGTTTTTTTTTTTTTTTAATAATTATTTATTTAATTTTATTTATTCATTCATTTATTTTAATTTGACCAGAGAGAGATACACAGAGAGAGAGAGAGGGAAAGTGAGAAAGCAAGCCACCAGGTCCGGTACTTGAACCGTGGTCGGCCATGTGGGAGTGTCCAGCACCTTAACCACCATGCCACCTGCTGGTCCCTCTGGTGAGTTTCTTAAGCCACCAGATCCAGGACTCCAACCATGGTCAGTCCTGTGGGATCTGGCTCCCTTAACTAGTAGGCCATGGGACCAGCCCAAGTTTCATTATTAAGAGAGCTCAGGTCAGCCAAATCAATGATCGGACCCTCTGGGATTTTGGACCTGAGGAACATGGATGGTGGACCTGTACAGCCCAAAGAACTGTCGTTCCTGCACCCATTCACCCACATCCCTGATCCCACAGAGCTTCACACCTGGGACAGGTCAGTCACTGAGTGAAGAGTGCAGTCCTCTGAGGCGCTGAGATAGGACGTGCCTGTTCTGCAGAGGAGGCTCAGAGAGGGAAACCCCTGCAGCCTTGACAAGAGGCAGCGTTTCTGGGGCACCGATTGGAGTTTTTGGCCACTCCTCTCTTGCCACCTGGACTTCCTCTCTTCATGGTGCTAAGAACGCCATGTTCCTGAGTCTGACAGCCAGGCCGGGGAGCCTTACCTGGAGCTGATGTCCCATAGCCATAGCCCTGGTTAGCAATGACGAAGGGCTCATTCAGCGTGATCCAGAACTTCACCTTGTCTCCCAGCCTCCGGAACAGCACGTCTGCATACTCTTTAAAGCGCTGCACGATGGTCTCGTTCTCCCAGCCTCCAACATCCTGGAGTGCCTGGGGCAGGTCCCAGTGGTAAATGGTCACCTGTGGGAGTTAGCAGCTTAAGGGCTCTGGACTCCCACATAGTCAACCACGGTTCAAGTCCTGGACTTGGTGGCTTGCTTTCTCATTTTCTCTCTCTCTCACTCTGTCCCTCCCTGGTTGAATTAAATAAATAAAGAAAAGAAAAGAAATAAAGTTAAAAATAAAATAATTCTTTTTAAAAAATTAAAAAATATTTAAGTTATTTTTGGAGAAAAAAGTTAAAAAAAAAAAAAAGGGCCCCCTGTGAAAAAGCCAGGGTCGCAGTTCCATCAGTCATGCTTGCTGCAGGAAGCCAGCAACGCTAGAGGCACTCGCACAAATGTCTCTTGCTAAAGCTAAAGATGGGGCCAGCAGGTGGCGTGGTGGTTAAGGTGCTGGATTCCACATGGCTGACTCTGTGGTTTGAGTCCTGGACCCAGTAGCTTGAAAAACATGCTGGGCATGTGTGCATGCTGCTCAAAATCCCAAGAGGAGAATGGAGGAGAATGAATTGTGGCATGGACATCTCCCCACCCCCCACCAGGTTATTTTTCAGTTTCCTTCTCTCTGGCAAACACATGCTCCCTATGGAAAAACAAAACAAAACAAAAGCCAAAATACCCCCACACACACACACACACACAATCATCAGGTGGCATAGTAGTTAGGGCCAGCTGGAATCCTCGCTGGGGGGTGATTTCTCGCTTTCTGTCTCCGTCTCTCTGCAAGTGCATATGCCCTGTAGCACAAACTTCTCGAAAAATATTTTAAAAGTTGAGAATGATGAGACTGAAAGTCTCAGAGACTTTTTTAGAGGAGAAAGATGAGTTGTCTCTCGGGAGGGGAGCTAGATGGCAGGGGGACAAGGCCGGGAAGCCGGCTCTTTCATGACTTTATTCTGCACCATGCGCATTATTGATAATTCCGAAATTAAATTCGAGTGGCTGGATGGAGAAGTGATGAAACGTGATGCTCTGTGAGACTGACCACGTGGGGAGACTCCAGACCTCACTGTGTGCCCATTGGCACACGTGTGGCCATAATCTGGGGCTGGCTGAGGCTAGGGGTGGAGTGCAGTACAGGACCTCGCTGGCATGGCATCTATCTGTCTCTCTCTGTCTGTCTCTCCTCTCTGTCATGGAGGAGATAAATAAACTTTAGAAAACCAAATGCGAACGCAGCATTTTGTATATGAGTAAGTGTGGCCCTGTCCGAGGCCTGGCAGGAACCTGCCTCACCTGGGGCTGGATGTTGGCAGCGAGCAGCGCATCGATGAGCCGCACGTAGTAGCTCAGGCCAGCTTCGTTGATGTGCCTGGTGGTCCCGTCAGGGAGGACGCGAGTCCAGGAGATGGAAAAGCGATAGTGGGACACGCCGAGGTTCTGCAGCGCAACCAGATCCTCAGCGATCTTGTGGTAGCTGTCGCAGGCCACGTCTCCGGTGTCATCGTTCCCAACCCTCAGCGGAGTGTGAGAAAAGGTGTCCCAGATGCTGAGTCCTTTGCCATCTGCCCTCCACGCTCCTTCAATCTCAAGATGACAAGACAAGGTCTAGTTAAGTTCCTCAGCCAACGCGTGAGTTCCCTTCTGTCAGTGGGCGAGGCCCAAGTCAGGGCACTCCTGCGCGTCAGCTCCTCTGGGTGCGCTGGCTGCCACCCTGCAGGCTCTGAACACCCATAGCATTGTGTTCACTCATGGGACCGTCACCTGCACTATGCAATTGTGCACTCGCTGACCGGCCTCCTGGAGACTGTGGGATCTGGGCATCCCACCCTCAGTGTCCCAGGAATGAGGCAGCATGCCTGGTGTGTGCATGTATATTTCTCTATGTAGTCAAATATAGGAAATGAGAAGACTGGCATTAACCCTGTGAAGTTATTCCAGAATTGCAAGTATCAATGCGAACTCACGTGGTGGTTGTTTTTTTTTTAAAGAAATTTTTGCTATAGGGCATGTACGCTTGCCAGAGAGACAGAGAAATGGAGAGAGAGAGTGAGAAAATGGAGAGAGTGAGAAATCACCCCCCAAGGTGGATGACCACACCACAATCCCTTCTCCTCTGTTCCTTTCTTGGGATTTTGGACATGCATTCGTGCACACATTCCCAGCATGAATTTCAAGCCATCGGGTCTGGGACTTGAATCATAATCAGCCATGTGGGGGGAGTCCAGTGCCTAACCAACCTAACCACTATACCACCAGCTAGCCCTACTAACTCATGTTTTTCGATATGCATAGGGACGTGGGTGGATCTAGAAATGTATATATAGGTAGGTGGTGGGTGCTCGCTGAAGATTCAGTTGAACGTTCCATGTCTCCCACCCCTAATCAATGATGCCAGGTGTGGAGACCAACTTTCTAGTCAGGACAGATGTCACAGTTTCTGTGGCTCTTGCCTCTCTTCCACCTATTCTGTAGGGAAAAAACATAACCCACTGGGAAAATGTCTACCTATGGTGTTAGGCAGTACGGCAGGCACAATCTCTTGGTTTATCTTAAACATTTCCACATGTATGACATGGCTGGGTGTAGCTTAGGCAGTGTGAGCATTCTAAACAAGAATGTGTGTCCAAGGTTGACCTCACAGGGCCACGTGACAAGCCCAGATCAAGAGTGTCCACTGCATGGCTCTCTGTGGGAGACTGAGCAAATATGTGACTATCCTGAGGATGTAGGAGCCAGAGAAGATACAAATATAGAAATCAGGAAGGTTGGCATTAACCCTGTGAAGTACTAGAATTGGCGGTATCACTGTAAACTCATGTGTTTTTTAATATACATAGAGACATGTGTGGATCTAGAAATACATGTAGAAATGTGTGTGTGTGTGTTCAGACATATTGTACAGTGGTCTTCAAAAAGTCCATGTGGAGAATGTGAATTATGAAAAAATTGTGCATGATTTTCTAATTTATTTTTGCAAAATTGACCCACACTTTGCAGTTTTTCACAAACTCTTTTAAGTCCCTCATACATTCTCTAACTGTCCACTGAGAAGACCTAAAAAAATAATCCCAAGGGCAGTAAGCATACCTAGTGCCCAGATTATAATTTCAGAATGTCATTCTTCACTAAAAGGAACCAGGATTCACTAGAGAAATGTCTTGTGTAGGGCTGGACCAGAAAAGGTACAGTGAGGGGTGGCTCTGTGGCTTGGTGGTTAAAGGAGCCAGATCCCATAGGGCTGACCATCGTTCAAGTCCCAGTCCCAGTGGCTTGAAATACATACTAAATACTGATAGCGGGGCCATCAGGTGGGTGGCATGGTGAAGGCGCTGGACACCCACAAGGGTGATCATAGTTCAAGTCTCGGACCTGGCAACTTGCTTTCTCACTTTCCCTCTGTCTCTCTCTGGTGAGCCTGCATGCCCTGTAGCAAATTAAGTAAATAATAATATGATAAATAAAAAGCATAACTCGTTAAATAAAATAGGACTCCATAAGGCAATACTGATAATACATGTCAATATAATATTTATAAAATAAATAAAATATAAATAAATAGGAGAAAAGAGAAAGCTCTACCTTACTGTTGAATGTCACCTAATATAAAAGAAATGATTGAATTAGAAAAATCACCCTGAGTCGAAAACTCCTGCTACAGAGGATTCTGCTTGCCTGAAATCTAATAGACTCATGCCTCTGAAATCTTGCCCTTTTCCTTGCATAAGCCTTTCATGTGAGGTGTTGGCTGGAGCACTTAAAAGGACCAAGAGATGGATTTCCCTGAGGCCACAGGACAGGATGCATGAACAGTTTTTGTTTGCCTGCTAATTAATTTTTAGACATTTTAATAAATGTCTACATATGGCAGAATTTGGTTAGAGACCTTTTTTTTTGTTTTTATTTTTTCAATTTGTCAAAGGGTGCGTGCACTCAGAGAGCAACAGAGAGAGAGAGGGAAATGGAGGGAGTGCTCTCAATGAGGCATGGTCACAGTGCAATTCCTTCTCCTCCTGTCAGGATCTTGGGCGCACATGCACATGCACTTGGTATGTTTTCAAGCTAGGGGCTGGGATTTAACTGTGGCGGTGCATGTGGGATCCAGTCCAGGCAACCATCAGGTCATGGTGCTGGCCTGCTGAGACGTTCCACCTAACCTGGTAGAGTGATTGTCTGGGAGTAGGCAACCCTCACTCACATTAGTCCACATATTCTCTGCAGCAGTGGTCATCTAGGAAAAGGTCATCGGCTGAGCGCACCAGGACTGGGTGACTCACAGCACCGGCCCTGCCCAGGTTGCATGCTGAGCACACAGAGCCCTCTACTGTGGCAAAGAATGTAAACGGAGGCAGAAAATGGAAAAGAATGCATTCTGACTGCCAAGCAAATCATTTTTTGCTTGTATCTTTTGTTTTTCTGGGAGAAAATAAAACCATCCAATTTCCTGCATTAGTAAGCCTCATTTGGCAGGGATAAGGCAATGGTCTGATGTTGGTAGGCCATCAGGAAAAGCCCAAGGTCATCTTTGGAGCCCATGAGCCATCTGCCCGTTTGGAAGAGACTAGCTGAGGAATAATGGGTCCCAGCGGAGACTCTTATATTTACATCTTTGCCCAGCTGTTCTGCACCTGCTCCCCCTGCTCCACCTGGCCCTGCAAACACCCATCTCAGCACAGCCCACCCACCACGCCGGTCTGACAGAACTGGGAGACGAGAAGAGGGTGAGCTATTGGAAAGAGGACCCCTGCTCCGTGACACCTACACCGCCCTCCAGAAGCTGCTGGAATCCCCTGTGCCGTGCCCTCCTCCCCAGTACTAAGCCTTGATCCCGGAAAACAGAAGGTACACGGTCTGCAGCGTGCAACTGCCCTGAAGCCCTCACCTGATACGCGGCGGAGGCCGCACTCCAGATAAAACCGTCGGGAAACCGTCCATACAGAAACTCGTCCTCCTTGGGGAGCGGCATGCCGTTGTTGGTAATGACCTCTGTGTAGAACCTGGTGGAGGCTCTTGCCGTGCGAGGCCTGTTCATGTTACTGAAGTCAACGTGGTATAGCCCAAACTTGACTGTGTAGCCTGACTGCCACTCAAAGTTGTCCATGAGAGACCAAGCGGCATACCCTCGTAGGTCGACACCATCGAGCCTGTAGGCTGGGGCCATTACAAAGGGAGCAGAAGAGAGCTTTACACCAGGGGCAGGATCTCGGGGAAGCCCAGCAGAGGGCCAGCTCCTCAGCTCAGGTCATAGACCTAAACTACCAGCAGGTACACACAGTAACGCGCACCCCGAGAGACCAGCAGGTCATCCCGGCACGCCTACTCTCTGTCAGCACCGATAAGCCCACAGCTGTACTGATGACTGATCTTCCTGAAATCAAGTTCTTCTGTAAAAGGGACGTGTCTCAAATTCGAGGACCTTGGTCCACTTTAGAAGCTAAGCAGAAGTGTGGACTTAGAGGAGAGTTTCTTGATCTGGGGTGAATGCAAGCTCCATGGGGCAGAACTTTGTTTTATTTACCAGCTTCCCCAGGACCTAGAGTGGAACTTGTCACATAATCGTTCCTTAATAATGAATAGATGAAATACTCTTTTAAGGAATCTGTGTGTGTGTCTTTGTGCTTTTTCTTTGGGGAGATAACCATAACTTTTTTCTTCTTCTTCCTAATTGCCAGAAAGTGAATGTGCTCACTAGAGAGAGAAAGAGAAAATGAGAAAGCACCACTCCCTCCATGGGGAGTGACCACGCCACAATCCCTCCTCCTCCATTTGTTCATCCTTTTGTGATTTGGGGCACACATACACACCCCCAGTGTGTTTCTCAAGCTGCTGAGATGGGGACTCAAATGGCACAATCACATGAAATCCAGCCACTTTAACCACCACTACACTTGCTGTCCCAACCAGAACATTTTTTTTTTTTTTTTTTAGCTTCTCAAGGGAATCAAACTCCTCAATAGGTAAAGAATTGTGGAATCAGAAATAGGAGAGACTGTGCTCGCTTCGGCAGCACATATACTAAAATTGGAACGATACAGAGAAGATTAGCATGGCCCCTGCACAAGGATGACATGCAAATTCTTGAAGCGTTCCATATTTTTTAACTGTTGATGATGACATGTATAGTATTCTCAACTGGATTGATCTGAGAAGTATTTCATGATGGGCAAAGTATTTTTGCAAGCAAAATGAGAAATAGCGATTGACTCTTTTAAAAAATAATTAGAATAATAATAATGATGATTGGGGAAAACATAGAAAAGATATCGAATGTTGAAGCGGGGAGATTGATGTCTTAGTATTGACTGACATGCATGGCATTCCCTTTTGAAAAAGCAATGTAATACACTGTAAAGTTATATGTAATCCAATGTAATATAAAGATTATGATGATAATAAAAAATAAAAACTAAAAATAAATTAAAAAAAAGAACTCTTAAAAAATAAATAAAAAGAAATAGGAGAGACTTGTTGATAGTACATAACCTCCTGCTCCCTATTTTAGGCACGTAACATGTGGAATGTTGGAAGATTTGGGAAGGTGAACTGAGCCCTCACATACCTTTCAAAGCCTCATTGATGTAGGTTTTGTGGTAAAATATCCTCTCGGTATCTTCCAGTTTGTCACTCGTCAGTCCCACTCCATTTTCAGTGACATAGATGGGGATGTTGCCGTACTCCTCCTTGATCCAGTTCAGCAGTCTTCTCATCCCCCATGCTGCAGCTCTGTTCGTGGCTGTGGAAGGCCACGAAGGGTCCTCCTCCTCCGTCAGCTCCCTGTCATCTTCGTAGGAGGGTGGGTTTAGCCTGGGTGTTTTATGCTGCACGATTCTGGAGGAGTAGGTGTTGAGGCAGAAGACATCGGCTGTACCCCTAATGTATGCCTTCTCTTCCTCAGTGAAGCTCGGCAGGCGGGAGGTGGCTAAGTGTTGTAGCTCACTCCTGTTCCCCACTTTCCACTTCATGGCATCAGGATAGTCTCCATTTCTAAAAATAGGGTGAGCAAACCAACCTAGGGAGAATTGCAGGCTTCGGTCAGCTGCTTCCACGTCTCTTGGGACGTTCGGTGACTTGGGCTCTCCCCAGTGAGTGTTGAGGCTCAATGAGATGACCCCCTTCTGCTTCTGCCTGTATTTCTCATCATAAGTGTGATAGGCCCTGGCGTGGGCTTTGATGACTGCATGGGCAACTTTGTAAGGTGCCCAGCCTGGGTCCTTCACACCTGGAGCAAACTCCCCTGAGCCATAACCCAACCATGCCTGGTACATGGGCTCATTAAAGGTCATCCAGAACTTCACTCTGTCACCAAAGGTCTGGAAGCAAAAGTCGGCATAGCTGTCAAACAACTCAATCAAGGAAGGATTCTCCCAGCCTCCGATATCCTGGAGGGCCTGGGGCAGGTCCCAGTGGAACAGTGTCACCATGGGAAAGATGTTGCTAGCCACCAAGCCATCGATCAGCCTGTTATAGTAATCAACACCGTGACTGTTGACAGAACTGTTTCTCCCAGTTGGGAAAATCCGAGACCAGGAGATGGAGAAACGATAGGCTTTCACTCTCAAAGCTCGAAGCATGTTCAGATCAGCGTCCACTTTGTGATAGCTGTCGCAGGCTATGTCTCCAGTGGCATTGTCTTTCACGTTGCTCCCCGGAGTGTGGGTAAAGTTATCCCAAATGCTGGGACCTTTGCCATCTGCATTCCAACCTCCTTCGATCTGATAGGCTGAAGAGGACACACCCCACAGAAAGTCATCTCGGAATGTGCCATGGTAGAACAAATCTCTTTCAAACTTGGGTTGGTTGGAGAACTTTTCCCAAACTACTTTAGCCTTGGAGGGCACCTCAGAAGGGAAAGTGAGGGCTCTGATCTTAGAGGAGAAGTCTGCCATGCTAGTTGTTGGGCGTCTTTTTATGACCTTGGTGAGGAAACCATTCTTTTCAATGATGCTGGTGAAAAAGTAGGCAGATTTCCTGGGAGTCCTTGGCTTACTGCTGTCACTGAAGTTGACATGGTACAGCCCAAATCTCTGGCTATAACCAGAGGGGCCTTCGAAGCCATCAATGAGGGAACGAGCGATGTAAGTACGAACATTCACTGAATCCTCCTTGATAGCTGTGAAGAAAAAACAGGATTTTATTTTTATTTGTGATAGAACGTGAACATGAGAAAGAGAGGGTCATCTCCCAGGGTTTAGTCATGCCTCAGTTTTCTTCTAGTCCTCCAGTCTGTAGGATCTTGGACACCCTTGCTCAGTGTGTTTCAGGCTGACCAGGTCAGAGATTCGAACCACAGCCACCACATGGGATCTGGTTTCGTTTCAGGAGCACATTACATCTGCACCACAGAACTGGCATAGAATTGTTATGAAATAAACTAATTTTTATTGAAAAATTATAAGTGAAGTTTGTGTTACTGATGACGCTTTCAAAAAGTTTTTTTGGGGGGGCCAGAAGATGGCATGGTGGTTAGGGCACTGGACTCCCACATGGTCAACCATGGTTCCAGTCTCAGACCCAGTGGCTTAAAATTCATGCCAGATGTGTGTGCATGGATGCCCCAAATCCCAGGAGAATGGAGGAGAAGGGATCGTGGCATGGACATCACTCCTAGGGGGTGATTTCTCACTTTCCCTCTCACTGTCTCTCTGTAGTGAGTGCTTGTGCCCTATGGCAAAATCTTTAAAAAAAGAAAAGGTTATGGGGCGTGATGATTGACTAGGACTCAGATGGACAAAAGGTAGAAGTGAGGCATTCTAGGGAATAAAAGCGTAGGAGCAAAGACAGGAGGCTTCTGGGTAAGGACGTCAGGAGGCTGAGGGAAAGCCCTGCTCTATCACCACAGTGCTCTTCTTTGGGCTTTGCCTCCCTGGGAGTCTGTCTTTGTCCCATAAAACAAAACTCTGAAGACTTTGAGGAGAAGTACCACCCACCTTCCAATACCAGCATATCCATTGTTCTTACCCTTGAGCACCTCATTGATATATTGATTGAAGTAGTCTACTCTCAAAGAATCATCAAAGAGATTTTCACTTTCCCCTGTGGGCATGCCATTCCCAGCCAGATATATTGGAACTTTTCCTCGGGTATATTCCAAGGATACAAACTGCAACAGTCTCCTTATCCCCCAGGGCACTACACGAATCCAAGGGGATGAGGTTTGGGGCCACGAAGGGTCCACATGTTGGGAGAATCCTCCAATGGTGTCATAGCTGGGGTTGCAGGTAACTTGGGCCTTGCTGATGAGGCGGGAGGTGTAATGAGACAGACCCAGAAAATCAGAAGAGCCTCTTAGGAGCTCTTTTTCTGCCTTCGTGAACTCAGGGAGCTGAGCCACAGGACTGGGACACTGTTTGTTCATCTGTAGGATCTGGGCCTTCAGGGCAGCTGGGTAGTCTCCGTCCACAAAGATGGGGTGTGCAAACCACCCCAGCATGAAGTGCAAGAAGCGCTCAGAGGCTTTCAGGTCCTCTGGCCTCTCTGGAGACAGGGGTTCTGCCCAATCTGAGTTCAGCACAATGCCCACGTGCCCCTGCTGTTGGGAGCGATGGTGGTGGTTGTAGTGGTGCCAAGTCCTGGCGTGAGCCTTGAGGATCAAATGAGCCACCTTGTGAGGAAGAAAGAAGGAAATACAGTGCTTCGTAAAAACACCATTGTCAATAGCCCTAACAAACTAATGACAGGTCAGCAACAGCAATGTCAACAAATTAAAACCAATGTCAACAAGTCATTAAAGACAACAATGTGAAGTCATTAACAAGGCTAAGAAGTTGAGACCAGCAAATGGCATAATTGCTGGACTCCCATATAGTCGACTGAGGTAGAGTCCTGGACTGGTGGCTTGAAACTCACACCAGACACATGTGTGCATGCCTAAGACCCTGTGAGGAGAATGGAGAAGGGATTGCAGTATCATCATCTGCCCTGGGGGGATGATTTCTTGCTTTCTATCTCTCTATCTCTCCAGTGAGTGTACCTGCCCTACAGCAAAAATCTGTTAACAAATTTGTCAAAAACAAATAACAACAAAGAAAGCAATGTTAAGAAGTTAACACTGATGTCAAGAAGTCAACATCATCAACAAGTCAATCCCAAAGTCAACAATCTCAGCATCAACAAATCAATACCAGGCTGGTCTGTAGCCTAGGGGTTAAGGGAGCTGAATTCCATCTGCCTAACTATGGCTCAAATCTTGGCCCCAGCAGCTTGAAAAACACAATGGGCACATGTGCACGCAGGCCCTAAATCCTGAGATGGAGAAATGGAGAAGGGGTTGTGGCATGACAATGTCCCATTGTGGAGTGTTTTCTTTCTGTGTATGTGTGTGTGTGTGTGTGTCTTTCTCTGGCAGTTGTGTGTCCTGTAGTAATTTTTTTTTTTTTAATTAAAAAACCTGGGCCAGCAGGAGGAATGGCAGTTAAAGATGATGGACTCCCACGTGGCCAACCACAGTTTGAATTCCAGATCTGGTGGTTTGCTTTCTCACTTTCTCTCTCTCTGGTCAAATTGAAAAATAATGATAATAAATAAATGTATAAATAATTATTTTTAAAAACTTTAAAAACCCAAATCAGGAGTCAGCAGGTAGTGTGGTGTTTAAGGTTCTGGACTCCAACATGGCTGATCATGGTTTGAGTCCCAGATCCAGAGGATTGCTTTCTCACTCCCCCCTCCTGACTCTCTTTAGTCAAATTAAAATAAATAAATAAATTAATTAAATTAAATAAATAATTCTTTTTTTTTTTTTTTGGAGAGGTTTTCGCTATAGGGTGAGTGCACTCGCCAGACAGACAGAGAGAAACATAGAGACAGAAAGCGAGAAATCACCCCCCAGGGGGGATGGTCACGCCGCAATCCCTTTCTCCTCCATTCTCCTCTCGGGATCTTGGGCACGCACGCACACGTGCCCAGTATGAGTTTTAAGCCACCGGGTCCGGGACGCGAACCGCGGTCGACTACGTGGGAGTCCAGCGACATAGCCATTATGCTAACTGCTGGTTCCCAATAAATAATTCTTTAAGAAAAAACAAAAAACCCAAATCAACTGGGCCAGCAGGTGGTGTGGAGGTTAAGGTGACTGGACTCCACACAGTTGACTGAGCAGTCAGAGTCCTAGACTTGGTGGCTCAAAATAATGCCAGGTGCGTGTACGTGCATCTCCAAAATCCTGACAGAAGGGATATGGTGTGGCCATCCCCTCTGTGGGGTGATTTCTCTTTCTTCTTTGTCTCTCACCAACAAGTGTCTGTGCTCTATGGCAAAAACCTAAAAACAAATACCAATATCGATGACCACATTAATCATAATGATGAGTGTATATTGAGCTCATTGAATTCTCTTATGTAATCCTTAAAACAACCTCATGTGGCAAGTATATACATAGAAATATTTTTTTTTTGAGAGAGATTTTTGCTATAGGGCATGTGCGCTCACTGGAGAGACAGAGACAGAGAGAAAGAAAGCAAGATATCACCCCCTAGGGGGGATAGCCACACCTCAATCCCTTCTCCTTCAGTCTCCTCTCAGGATTTTGGGCATGAATGCACACACGGCCCAGTGTGAGTTTTGAGCTGCTGGGTCTGGGACTCGAACCGAGCTCAACTATCCGAGAGTCCAATGGTCCCAGCAAGTGTAATTATTATTATCACTTTACAGGTGAGAAAAATAAGATCCAGAAAGGTGTATTAATTTTGTGAGGCCCGTAATCAAGAGTAAAGTGAGAATACAGAACCTAGGTAGTCTGGCTCTAAGCTGTTATTATTACCTACCATGCTAATCCGCCTCTGTACTCAGTAAGTGCTTATTAACCAGTTAGTCCATGGTGGGGATGGCTATTTAACTAACACACAAGAGCGAGGACTACTCTTTCTAGCCTACTTGTTTTCCTCCCTACTTATTAAAATCTAGGATAAAAAAAAAATACAACCAGGACTTTGGTAGACTTGACTTACAGTCTAACAAAAGTCAGCAGCTTTCTTCAGAGGAGTGATCATGAGAGAACAGAGGGACAAAAGGGGGCTGTCGGGAGTATAAGTTTTTTTTTTTTTTTTTTGAGAGGTTTTTGCTATAGGGCACGTGCACTCACCAGACAGACAGAGAGAGACAGAGAGACAGAAAGCGAGAAATCACCCCCCGGGGGGATGGCCACGCTGCAATTCCTTCTCCTCCATTCTCCTCTTGGGATCTTGGGCATGCACGCACACGCACCTGGTGTGAGTTTTAAGCCACCGGGTCTGGAACTCGAACCGTGGTCAACTACATGGGAGTCCAGCGACATAGCCATTATGCTAACTGCTGGTCCTGGGAGTATAAGTTTTGATTTAAATCTTGACTCTGACACTAAATTGCTCTGTAAACTTGGACAATCTTCTCTCACCTGCAAGAAGTGGAATCTATCCGAAGGATTAAGTGAAAGAATTATGTAAAAAGCACCAAGCAGGGAACCAGCAGTTAGCGTAATGGCTACGTTGCTGGACTCCCACGTAGTTGACCGTGGTTCGCGTCCCGGACCCGGTGGCTTAAAACTCACGCCGGGCACGTGTGCGTGCGTGCCCAGGATCCCGAGAGGAGAATGGAGGAGAAGGGATTGCGGCGTGACCATCCCCCCTGGGGGGTGATTTCTCGCTTTCTGTCTCTATGTCTCTCTCTGTCTGTCTGGCGAGCGCACGCGCCCTATAGCGAAAATCTCTCCAAAAAAAAAAGCACCAAGCAGAAACTTAGCGTGCAGGAGGGAGCTTGCTAAAACTTGGCCCCTGTTCTTCATTTTCTTTCTTTTTTTTTTTTAACCATGAATCAAATTTCCCCAAAAGGGGAATTTTATTGATCACTTTATTCCCTCACAAAAAAAGACCAACTATAATCAAATGAGGTGAACATTCACCTCAAGATTTTGTTGTCTTCATAATAGAAAAGATGAGGCTTAGAACTGGATCACTTGACCCTTTCTCTTCTTATCTCCTCCCAGTTCAAAATGCTTGCATCTCTTAATAGCCAGCCTTCTCTTAGCTCTGCAGTTGGGCTCTGCACATTCAAGCCTCAGCACAATCTTCTTTGTAGTTTTTGCCTTTTTCCAGAAAATAGACTTAGTCTGTCCACCATGGCCACTCTGCTTCCTGTCACAACGCCGCTGTCCCTGAGCACACAGAGACTCCTTGCCCTTTGTGTACTGTGTCACTTCAGGAGGTTGATGCTTGCCACGCTTCTTACAGTAGGTCCAGCGGGTTTTAGGGATGTTCACCATGCTTGCGGGCCTGCTATCTGCACAGAAAGCTTTCTTCATTTCTTTTTATCATCTGAAAAGAATGACACCTATTTTTGAAGAATTTCATATCAAAATATGCCTGAGGAAGTGAAACTCTTGGCACCTCTCATGTCCCTAATATTTGTCCTAAATGGGTCCTAAATTCCAATGGCACACTGCGCTCGTTTGCAAAAGGAGGGACGTTTCCCTTCTAAAGCGGGCAGTGTCAAGCAGGGTGCAGTGGGCCGTCAGACAGCTGTCAGAAGCTGTGTTTCTGCCACTGCGTGATGACATCAAGTGTTATCCACTGATGTCGAGAAAAAGACAAGCGCTAAACCGAGGCACGCCGGCCACACATACTCACAAAGAAGTCAAGACTGGAAGGAAATTTGAGAAAAATATTCTCTCATCACTAGAATAATGAGAGAAATCTTTTATTCTAATTTCTTTGCTTAAAGTTATTAACTGAATTGTCCTCTTCCTCACATTTCTGTGTTAAACCCCTAATCCCTGATGCGACAGCATTTGGAAAGATGGCCTTTAGGAGGTGAGGTCATAAAGGTGAGACCTCATGATGAGATTAGTGTGCTCATACAGAGAGACACCAGACAGCTTTTTCTCTCTCTTTCCATTATGTGATAACATGCCAAGGAGGCAGTCTGCAAGTTAGTAAGATGCTTCCCCAGGAAACAAATTTGCCAGCACCTTGATTATTTTTTTTTGAAGGGAGTTGTTTTTTTTTTGCTATAGGACGCGTGCAGTCGCCAGAGAGACAGAAAGTGACAAATCACCCCCATGGGCAGGGCCACTCTGCAATCCCTTCTCCTTCAATCTCCTCTTGGGATCTTGGGCATGCATGCACATGTGCCAGCTTAAGTTTTAAGCTGCTGGGTCTGGGGCTCAAACCACGGTTGACCACATGGGAGTCCAGCAATGTAACCATTATGCCATCTGCTGGTCCTGAGCACCTTGATCTTTAAACTCCAGAACTACAAGAAACAGTGTCTGGTGTTTAAGCTGCCCAGTTTACTGTATTTTATTACAGCAGCCTGAGTTGACAAGACAATAGTATTACAATGTCTTAACTAATAAATAAAAGGAAAGGGACCAGGAGTTAGCGCAATGGCTATGTTGCTGGATTCCCATGTAGTCGATCGTGGTTCAAGTCCTGGACCCGGTGGCTTAAAACGCACACCAGGCGCGTGTGCGTGCGTACCCAAGACCCCGAGAAGAGAATGGAGGAGAAGGGATTGTGGTGTGGCCATCCCCCCTGGGGGGTGATTTCTCACTTTCTATCTCTCTGTCTCTCTCTGTCTTTCTGGCTAGTGCATGCACCCTATAACCAAAAAAAAAAAAAAGGGACCCAACAGTTAGCGTCATGGCTCAGTAC